GATTAAATATTTTCATGCAACAATTTTCATTATATGCCTCTCAATGTGCTTCAAGGTTCTTTGCAAAGCTCCATAAATTACTTCTAATTTAATATCATGTTAATAAACATTGGTATCTAAAAATGCTTTTTCGGGATAAAAATTTCTACTTTTAATTAGACCTTTCTGAGAAGTTCAAAGAACGTTGAAGCACATTAAGATGCATAAAATGAAAATTGTAGCATGAAAAGATTTAATTTTCAAGCTTCATTTAAAGATTTTTTGAATTAAATTATAAATTAAAGAGTTGTCCTTCCTGGCTGAGGGTCGGGGTCCCTTAATTCCAACTTTCAAGAGTGATGAAAAGTACGTGTAACTGGATGGGGACCTGAGATCACTTATATAGAAATGCTATAAATTAGACAGAGAATTTATCTTCATGTTTTAAAATTGTGTAAAGAACATTATTTCATATGATGAAGAAATGACCTTGATTGAAAGAGAAAATAGTTGTCACATAAAAAATAATAGTCACACACCTTGGTGTAAGGGAAAAAAAGTGGACAACTGATCATCACTAAAAACTTGATATTGAGAAATCAATACCAAGAGAATATTGAAAGTATTAACCATTTATACATAACACAATGATGATGACAATAATAATAATAATGAGGATGTATCTGTCGCAGCAACTCTGACAAGTTTTAATTAAAATATTATTTCCGAAAACAATTAATCTGTGGCTGGTAATTTGCTTGACTTTTCCCCGATAGAAATTTTATCGTTCAAAAAGACAATATCCATTTCATTGATCATCACATACAGACGTTATTGAACAAAATAATATTTTTCTACAGCTTTTTCTCCAAATATAGATATAATAGAATACAAATTGTTAGTATGATTAAAAAAAATCCAATTCATCAAGAAGAACCTTGTCAACTTGTGAACTACTGATCGTTTCTGGAAAAAAAAACGTTGATATCTATTATAATCAGGAGCTCTTAAAGGACTACAAGAAGAATGAATGACCAGCTTAAAAATTATGACAAGATAAGAAGTATTTACATAAATACGCGTAAATGCACTTTAAAGTCATTAAGTAGTACGTTAAAGTTATTATTTCGTAAGTTCTATGGTCGATACAATGACCTTGTCAGCAAATAAAATGTGCCAGTTTTATAAAAATGACTGATGAGTGATTTATAACAAAGTTTGCAAACTTAAGTTTTAAATTTATGAAATATTGGGGGAGGGGGGTTAATCCTCGATGGAATAAATTAAATGTGTTGAACACATCATCCATTTATTCTGTCGTTGTGTAACTATCTCTATCGTTTATAGCTAATGATCAAGAATAATTTGGCGGACATGTTGATAATATTCGCAGACATAGATATGCTTTTTATCAAATCATGTTATATAATGGAAAACATTTGTAAATGTAACTAATTAATTCTGGGCCGTTTTTATTTTCCTCTACCTTTGAAGATAGTAATATTATATAAAATTCAATTAAAACAATGATACCTATGTTCTATTGTTGGAATTATATTTAAAAAAAGATTTTAAGATGCATATTTCAGACAATGTACACGATCGTTCTGGCCAGCTATAGTATGTAATTTTAGCGTCGTTTTATTCATGTGCAGAAAGGTTGAAAATATAAGGAATATAACCCAATCTATAAATCGTTAATGACTGTTCTTTTTCAATTCATACTTTGTATTTTTTAAGCACATTTACTAATGATTTTTTTATCCTCTCCGATTTTGAAATTTTACATGCAAATAGGTGATAGTGGTTTAATATATTTTGATATAATAACCAATTGATTTAAACGATTAAATATGTTGTATTTTCCCCATAACCTGAAAGAATTATCATTTCGTCTCATATCATTCATTGTCTATTTTGTTCAAAGACATTCAAGTAAATAATTGGAAAATAAAAATATTAACCAGACTGAATTATTTTACTTTCAACCTTTAATATGTAGAAAATAATACAAAGCCTTTTGATACAACACCTCTGCCTAAGACACTTACTTCAGCACCTAGTCAAAAGGATTATATTACAATCTTCTGCGAAATTATAGCAAATTTATCCCGTAAAACATATATATTTTACCAGTAAATATATTTATGACAGCTTTATAATAAAACTCTATGATTAAGTTGATAATTTCTTCTTTTTTATCATTACCTTCTCTTTTATAGCAATGTAGACTTATACCGGGGTATTATTTTGTATATTCTATTATCGATACAATGACCATGTTAATTATTATTTTCATTTTGAAGTGCCGAGTGAAATGATGAGTAGATTCAATGGACAAAAATAGTTTCCGTCACTTACGTCAAAATGCCCGATTGGCCGTAAAATTTGTGGCAATTATTTTTACGGAGCTGTATATCAAAACCAGACTGGATCGGACATTTGGCCAGTATACACGTTTCACGATACAGATTTCTGGTGACATCAGTATTTAAAATTTTTACTTTTACCACTAGAATTTGTTAAATTTTTATTGTTTATGTTTTTAACATCATTCATAGAATATTAAATTTATTTTGGGATGCAAACATTTGCTAATGAAGGGCTTTTTTGACACTTAAGGCTTTTGAGTCGTGAAAGATGCTAGCATTTTCTAAGACATGGGTACACATTTTTTCATCCGAAAGATCGCTCTCCATGTATAGCAGAAGGATTCTAACCTGCGACGTAAAAAAAAAATTATTACTCGGCGACCTTATAGTACTGTGCAACGCGGGCGACAAATGTGTTCAGTTATATATACACAATGTGGAACCTCGAAAAAACGGAAAATTTTCTGATGGCCATTTTAAGACAAGGAATTTGAAAATTATACAAACGTAAAAATTATGAAATTGTATGGAATCCAAAGGAAAATTATATCACATTTGACAAAATATGTAAAGGTTTCGACACTGAAACAATACTAGTATCGATATTAAAGAAAAGCTAAGTTTTAACACTAGCGATAAATTCTCCTTTTCTTTCATTACCTTCTCTTTTATAGCAATGTAGATTTATACCGGGGTATTATTTTGTATATTCTATTGTCGATACAATGACCATGTTGATTATTATTTTCATATTGAAGTGTCTACGGATTTGTGTCTTTCCTATTGTCGACTAGGGGTGCTTACTGTCTATGGCACCTAATCCTTCCTCTGAGGTTTTGAGAGGTCCGTGTTTTCTTCCAATTTTATAGAGGGATTAAAAATTTTTTATCTTAGTTTTACACTTTATAAACTATCAACTCTTAGTAAACCAAACACATTTTTATAATAAAGACTTTTGTTTAAAAAAAACTCTAACAATACCTTAGATTAGGCTGAATTAATATAATTCACAAAGACGTATAAATTTTGTACTTTAATGCGAATGTATCCTTATTACAAGCGATTGACGGTTCTTCCAGAACGGTCGTACACCACGTAAAATGCCACAGGCTCACACTGAATAAAATTTGTAATCTATATTTAACCGATCCTTGTTACAAGCATGCAGACATTTCAGTCAATGAATGAAAAGGGAGTTCATCGGAAACAATACCTGTCAGTGTCGTGTAATTGTCCTATTTCAGCTAATGAGATCGATTTTTTTTATACATAGCGATACCTAGATAAAATATACTGAGATGAAGAACGCGGGTCTTTCTTGCATGTCACCTGATGAATTTATGCTTAACTTCCCTTGTTTTGAATATATCTTTTACAAGACCTTGTTTGAAGATTAGATACACTGAAATTCTTTTTTGCCAACCATGTCTAAGTAATTTTAGCCTAGTTACTAGTTATTCGTATTGCTTTTTTTGGTTTTGATTGCAAAGGAAGATATTCATTGTGTATTTTTTATGTTTCTCCAAAGAGAAAATAAAGCAAGACGTTTCTGAAGAACTAAAATTAAATCTGCAAAGACAAATTTGACAAAGCTGTAACCACATACTAAATTAAATCTCAAACATGTAGATACCAGAATTACTACAAACACAAAAACTCAAAACCAAAGATTCTTTACAATTTGATTTCTCCCAAAAATTAAATACTCGATAATATAATTTTTCTTCTTTTAAAATGAAGTATGAAAATGAGTTGTTCTGAACTGAGAAATCAGTTGATTTATGAAACGAAAATAAATCCATTTTTTGTCGCAGTACATATTCCTGTGAGAAAAATATAAACTTGAAAGATACAAGATTCCATCTTTTCTAATTTATATAATTTATCAATGACGATACATACTTTTTTTAGAATCAAAATTACAATGAACTAATAATGCATGTTTGTTTAACTAAAATGAACAATTTTAACTGCTTAGCTGAATAAAGTGTAATTTTTTTTTCAATTAAAGTTTATAAATAATATTCAATAATAAAAATATCTTTGTTAAAAAGGACTGTGGTTATAGCTTAAACAAGACAAGAAACGGAATTTTATCACCTTTTTGCACTTTTCGTGAAGTGGAAAATTTGTTGCTTTGTGTAGAAAAAAAACCCTACATTTTCTTATCCTTTGAAACTGATATTTATCTGAGCTATAAAAGTCAGGTATTCTAAGGTTTTTGTAATATTACTTACATATTGACACAATAAGTTAATAGGTTACTAGGTTTCCTATTTGGCAATAACTCATTGAAATTAAGAATAAAAGTCCAGAGATTGAATTGAAAAAAAATTGTATGGAAATCAAAACCGAGCTCCGGAACTTAATGACTGTAAAACAGACCTATTTCCCAGCAGCCGATGTGGTTCTTTCATTGTCTACGAGCAAATCCCTCCACGCACAGAAATGTAAATAATGAATACAAAGATTTGAAAATGAAGATTCAATTTTCTTAATTATGTAAATTATTGATCGGTTTGAAAGAAACTACTGACTTTAATTGCTTACTTGCCTTAGATTTGTTTCCCCGATTTCACCCTTTAGATACAGATATAAGTTGTCTCCCTTGCCCTCTCCTTACACCAATAGTAGGCGGCTGATATGAAAATGTCACTGTCGCTGTGGGCAGAATGTAGCACATTTCTGGGGATGAAAAAGACGGCCGGTAATAAATCATAATTAAATTATTTTCTAGGTTTTACATAGTACAAGACCAAATAAATAAGATCCCTGCATTAATGTCTGTAACCTTTAACCAGTACAAAGGATCAAAGACTTACTGTACAATAGATGTTGTTACAAATGCTACCATTGACATTTCCTTCAAATTACAGACGTGTTTGAAAGAAAAGTAATGATTTTAACCCTTTAATTCATTAATATGTCATGACTGATTAAAAGTTCGGTAATTGATCTAATTCTTCTTAGCAGTGTAATTTAATGAAAAATAACAATATGTTTGGTTTATATATTGATATTATTCTAAAACAGCTTGAGTACTTTTATGTGGTAAATGGTTATGCAGGTAGAAAATTAAATCATGCAAAATTCTGTGTTCTTAATGAAAGCATTAAGGAGTCTAAATCAAGTTATATTTCAATTTTTTCTGAAGACTTGAAGTCTAAACAATTAAATGTATTTCTTTGTTTAATAATATGGGAATTACCGTGGCAGAAATTGCAGAAAAAACAATGGTTGTCTTAAAAATAAAAGAGAAAATATTCAGTTGATTTAAATATTATATTTGTAATTCTATTTCTACTTTGTACCTTTAACAAGTACAAAGGATCAAAGACTTACTGTACAATAGATGTTGTTACAAATGCTACCATTGACATTTCCTTCAAATTACAGACGTGTTTGAAAGAAAAGTAATGATTTTAACCCTTTAATTCATCAATATGTCATGACTGATTAAAAGTTCGGTAATTGAACTAATTCTTCTTTGCAGTGTAATTTAATGAAAAATAACAATATGTTTGGTTTATATATTGATATTATTCTGAAACAGCTTGAGTACTTTTTATGTGGTAAATGGTTATGCAGGTAGAAAATTAAATCATGCAAAATTCTGTGTTCTTAATGAAAGCATTAAGGAGTCTAAATCAAGTTATATTTCAATTTTTTCTGAAGACTTGAAGTCTAAACAATTAAATGTATTCCTTTGTTTGATAATATGGGAATTACCGTCGCAGCTATTGCAGAAAAAAAAACACATAACAATGGTGTCTTAGAAATAAAGGAGAAAATGTTTCGTGGATTTTAATATTATACTTGTAATGCTATTTCTTTTCCAGGTAATGAATACTTTGATTCTCTTCGGAATAAAAGAAACGATTTTTTAAAAAGTATACCTGTGTCCAATAGTAGGCCAGTAGATAGGGAACAGCTGAGGGGTTTATACAGTAGACTCAACGACCTCCCAGAGCTTATGAATAGAAGGTTCCAAGTGGGTTCTAAACCTCCACAAGTACCTGTTGATGATTACAATTTTGAGGTAAGTACTATGTCTATTGTAAAGAACTTTTATAAACTATATAGTTTATAGGATATAGTTGTGTTAGTCTGAACGATCCTAGTATGTCGTATTTAGGTTTTGGAGAACATACCCTGGCCAATTTAATGATGTATGGTAAAAAGCAGCAAAAACTGCACAACAGATGAATCTTAACATATTTCAATAGATCTTTTTAAAACTCCTAAATATGTGTATATGGTATGTTGGAATTATAAAGGTTTTTATTTATTTATTTCCAAAATAAAATGCAGTTTGTATTTATTCATCAATAACCATATAATTGGATTATGTAATTTCTTTCAATGAAACATGGAGATAACGAACAGCATTCAAGTTCAAAAGTCCATGAAACAATACAAAATAGGAGAAGAGCAAACACTGACCTCCAAAACATCAGAGGTGGGACCAGGTGCCATGGAGGAGTGAGATCCCCTGCTGACCGGTCACACCCGCCGTGTGCTCCTTGTCATGATCGGGAAATAACGGAAAAAAAACCGTCGTCGATTTAGTGTATAAATAATGGACTAACAATTGGTATGAAAAACGTCTGTCAGCATTTGACTCAATGATAAATTGCACTTGCTGACAAGGTCATTGTATCGACCATCGAACTTGCAAAATGCTGACTTTAAAGGAGACTGCTGAAATTCTTGTTTCATCAACTTGTTTGCCAATTATTTACCTCGTTTTAGAAATTGTAGCATGCTCTTGCGTGTCGAGTCAACTGAGATATATAATCTCTGCATGAAGGTGATGAAAGTATACTGCTGCATAAGTAAGGGAAGTTGAAATAGCACATAGTATTTAGTTTTCCTGTACAAATCCCATCTACTGAACGAAAATAAAGGAATTAATCTCAGGAAAAAATTCAAAAGATACTAATGTATGAACAGAGCATAAAAAGATTCCCTGTAAATTCTTAAGATGCGATCAAGTTAAAAATAGTCGTACTCAGAGCATGCTTTTGAGTATCTAACTTAGGAGACTTTATCACAATGTACATAAAATGCTGGAATACATAATTTTGGAAAGTTTAAGAAAGAAAATCAAATTCATTAATTTCGTTTGCCATACAAATTGGAGTTAGTTTGTCCTAATCGGCTAAGTTAAGTTCAGTTATGCATCTAAAGATAAAGCAAATGTTGCAGACCTTGAGGGTTGTTTTATTTCTAATTTACTTAGATATTTCCAGTCGTCATTAGATATGAAGTAAATTATTGATAATTGATAAAATGTCGTCGATAGACCATAATAAAGAGACGTATCTTTTTTTCTTCTCCTGTAAAATACTAAATAGATGAAATTAATTCTATTGTAATTAACAATTGTGTAACAATTATAAAGCCCACGGCTTTTCTGTAGTAACTAGGGATTTTGTATCAATCTAAATGTCCTTTAACCTTCTATTTATATTTTTCATCAATATCATATCTAAAAATCCCAAATTCATACCACATAATTCATTATTGGGGTAAATTGCAGTGAAAAATATCAAGGAACAAGTATTTATTTAAGTAAAGTTCAATAATATTCAGTTAAGCAAACCAGAGTACTAATTTCTGGTACTGTACTTTAATAAAACATATACTTCAGTAAACTATAGTTTACAATAATATTTTTTTGTTGTTTTTTTTTAAAGAACACACAAACAGCATTGCATCTTGGATAAACTCAAAATATTTTGTTCTTTCCCAATATAGTGTGCTTAGACGTAGAAAAGGAATATAAAGACAAAATAGAGGGAATATATATATAAAGCGAATTTCTTGACAAGTTTGTGGAGTATTCCTACTTTATATGTATTATCTAGTTCGATCCACGTTAGTCTATTTGCGTGCATGTTTGTTTGGGTAACATAATAAGTGAATGATTATTCTTCCACACGAAACAGAAATAGTCGCCCGTGTGGTTCAATTGTAAGAGCGTGTGCGCTAGATTTGAGAAGTAAGGATTTGATCCTTACGTCGCAGGTTCGAATCCCACTGTGGGACGTAAAGACTGGTCTTTTGGATGATACTGTCTAAATAGGTACTGGCACATAAAAGATCCATCGCTGCTCAAGGCCCTGAGTGCCGAATATAGGACAACATTTGCAGTCCTCCGCCGGCAAGTGGTGTCTTCTCCACATAAATGAAAAATTCTCGAGAGGGACATTAAACAACATACAAACAAACAAACCAACTGTACCTGTTTCTTGATTACTCATTGTTTTACATAACAAATACATGTTGTAGAAAACTGACGAGGTTTTGTATATAAATGGATGAATTGTATTTGTAATAAAAATGATAAAACTATATTGATAACGAAAACTTAAAAAAAAAACAAATTCGACATTTATTTCCTTAGCTAGTTGGGTTGCTTGAATTTCAACTTCAACCGTTTTCCAAATCTCTTTTTAATTACTTTAAACATATTACAATGGTTGTGCATTCCATCTGCATGTAGCTCTTTCACATTTGAGGCGAAAGTCGGTTTTCTAATAAAAGTTAATTTCTTTTTACTTTCTATATTAGTTAAATAGATAGAGATCCAAAATTAAATAATATCTCAGTACTAGGATTATAATGTTGCAAATGAAAATTAAACACAAAAAATTGTCTGTAAAACTTATGCTTTATACCTTTATTTATATAGAATATAAATAATATTAAAACTTGCCAAAAATAAGTTTTACTATTTTGAGACTGAATTATGTACGAAATTTCATCTATCGTTCATGAATGGTAGTGATTGTCAGTTGTGTTATATTTTTATCGACAAAATACTGTTAAATGTATGACTTAAGTGAGAGACAGAGAGTGCAGTTTCCCAGGAAAAATTACAATATCTGTTCTTAAGGTGGCACTTCTTCTCTTCTTCCATTTTCCTTATGACTTAGAGTGTTGAGCTTATTGATCAGCTTTCTGAAAACTGATATGTTGGTGTTCTTGCTTACATTTGCTTTTGTGTTTATGAATTGCCATCAAAATAGTACAAAAAGCAATATACATTACTAACTAAATGTGTGATTCAAACAATCTAAAGATGTATGAAAACCAATATTTCTTTTTTAATTTTAATGTCCTCTTAATCACAGTAAATATCTGAATTCCTTAGATGTCCCCACAATGCTTCTTTTGTTTCAATTACAAGTTGAAAACCAATTTACCAATTCTATTGAATCATATAAGATTACGAAACTTTTCATTTATACCATAATTCATTATTCTAGATAAAATTAAATCTATGCAAATGTTTTAGTACGTTGTCATAACTATTTCTTTTTATCAATTTGGAGGTCAGTTTATGGATATTGTCACATTAACATTCGTTTTATCTATGGTAGAAACGTAACTCAGTTGACCTGCTCCGAGCCCAGCCAGTATGTCCTTATAAGACGGAATGGCGGTTAATACATCGGGCAAAGAACATCAACGATACGGAAGTGATAGTTTTCCAGCCTGAAATCGAAAGTGATGGCTTCCAATGGTTCTACACCGCTACATGTGATAGGGCTGCCTCATATCTCTATGATACATCTTGTCCAACCTGCTGTAGGGGTATAGACACATCTAGGTGAGTAATATTTATTTTCTTCTTGTTTAGTTTTTACTATTACATCGCACGTAACAGTTGTATTTCAATGATACACAACTTTGAAATATATTTCCACAAGTAAATATACATAGAATACGATGAATTATCTAATTTTGGAGTTTAATGTTCTATGACATTGTGGAATAAAGAGAATTCGTATGAGAGCTAAATTTTTAAGCTACAGTACCATGCTTCTTCATCAAACTTAAAATAAAATACTCACTGAGCAATATTGCATTCTCCAATCCAAAAAAATTGAACCAAGGAAAATAAGTGATATTACAGTGTTACATATATTGCATATCAATATATGCACTAAAATGGCATTCTCTTTGCAAAACCTTTTTTTTTTCAAAAGTCATTTCCCAACTTATTCGATACTCATAAGCATGTTCCGTGTATGATCAGTTTTTGAACCAAGGCAGATTACTGACAAATAATTTGATGGTACAGGGATTTCACAACCTTGTTTAGTCTGCATTTCCTAAATTTTTTTGGTCGCTACAATGACTTTGGTAGCAAATGTAACCGACCATTGAGTCGTACTTAGACCCACATGTTTCATACTAATTGTTTGGCCTTTGATTGCATACTAAACTTGAAATGTTCCGCCCACCTGATCAATACACAGAGCTCATGGCGATTGTGATTGGTCAACCGGTCAACAGGGGTTGCTTAATTCTTCTACATCCTGGTACTTGCTATACAAAAGAACTTTAAACTAAGATACAAATTTTATTCTGCTTTTTTTCTTTCTAATTCAAATAAAAATGAAAATGATTTTAATCATCTTACAATGAAGCGCATTGAAGTGGTAAAATTTTCTGTTTGGATGGAACGTTTTGAGCTATCTTTAGACACGCCCATTTCTTTAGAAAGGAAAAATCGGTCAGACGATTCAATCGAATACCTGTAGAACAGGTATGTCATAAATATAATAGCCAATGAAATTGACAGTCTACATAAACACCGAGTAAGCACGTGTTCGACGGATACATGTGCTAAGCTAACTCCAATAAACATGATAAAATTATAATTATGTACAAATTCGTTGCAATGCATGTTTTACATAAGCGGGAACTCTATATATAGCTTTTTCTTATTTAAAAATCTTCATTTCTGTGTAACTCATGTTGCTTGTCGCGGAAAGTGTAGTGTCCCCAAACATTACGACGAATATTCCTTTCTCCATGTTTCTCGTTTCTAAAGAAATGGGCGTGTCATTATGTTATTATTGACGTTCAAAACATGACTCAGAACTTTTCGTCCAAATGGAAAATTTTACCACTTCAATGCGCTTCATTGTAAAAGGAATGTAAAAAGATATTTCTATGACAGTCATTTTGAACAAAATCACAACTTTTCCAAGATTTTACAATCACCTTTTGATTTTGATCTACGTCTTCATTGTTTAAAAAAGGGCATTTGAAATTCAGGTATTTGTATTTATGCCCTGTTCACACAGATTGAAATTGTTGTTTTTTTTTTATTTATCACTGTTCGTTATCTCAGCCCTTTTCATTCATAAGCATGCGAAAAATTTATCCTAAAAGAGTAAACAACAATCAATTTCTGCTTTTTTATATAGATATGTATCTACCTGTGTCCCTAAGAAGTCCTATATAATGGCCTACGCCCGTCAGGCACAGGAACTCAACTACGACTGGACCTGGATACAAATAGATACCGGATGTAGCTGCGCCATATCAACTAGACCAGGAGTATGAATCCGTGAATAGAATAATTATATCGAAAGCTGACCAGCACATTATATAAACTATGAGGAATAAAACTTATTCATTCTTAACAAAAGAAAAAGGCTTTGAGCTTGTTGATTAAGATTAAACAAAATCAATCGATATGTGACACAATATTCAACAGAACTCAAAATGATCTACAGATCACTTTAATGTTAATAGTTTTACATTAAAAGGTTTATACTTGCAATTTGTAAAATTGAATAAATGTTATGGAGGATTATTTTAAACAAATGAATGAATTATTTCGGAATTTTTATTTTGATTATCATATAAAATTTCTATTGCTTTCAAATGTTTTGGTTCTATACAAAACATTAAATAGATTTGAGAGGTCGGATTTGATAGAACTGCTACATTTACAGTATCTGTGGCAATTCTTTTCGAAGAATGAAATATTTTCACTACCTTTCATTAGTTTACGGCAAATTTAAGATGGGAAATATTCAGAAAGGCCGATATACTTGTATGTGCATCCCTCTTAAGCTTGCATAGAAAATGTAAACCAGCTACAAATAAATTTTTATGCCCGCCTGCGCAAATTCAATAGAAGTACATTGTAAAAATAATTATCTCCAATACAAAGAATGAAACTGGTCATTCATTAAGGAGTACGAAACATAAAAGCTGCCAAATTCATAATACCATATAAAAAGTCACAAAAGAATTTTACACCAAAAATGTATGATGTATTGTGACAGGTACAGAAATGCAACACTCCTGCATTAATTGTATATCTTTCAAAAGTCCAGTTTATATATTTTAGGATTTTCGAACTAGCAATTCACGATAAGGGATCAAATATATCTTTTAGGATTTTCGTACTAGTAATTAACGATAAGGGATCCAATACCTTAAAAGGCTAGTGATATTTCTATTGTATCTCTTAGATCTACATACTCTTGAAAAAGATGAAGAAAACTAACAATGATTGATCTACAAATAATCTACTATGAAAAATCTACATCAAATCAAGAATTTGAAATAAATACTCATGAGTATTAATAATCCCAAGCCAATCTCTCACCACCACCACCCGCCGATATTTTAAAGTAGCTTAAATATTCTGTAGTCAAATTTTACGCAAAACAATGGTATAACCACATGTCAGCAAAAATGCAACCTAATAAAAATTGAATATGCTAGGAAGTCATTGTAAGGACTATAAAATTTACAAAATTCTGCCTCTAAACTAGGCAGCTGACATTTTTTAACATCAATTAATCTATCAAGAACCAGACTGCGTAAAAAAATGATACTCACAGCATGTAACCCAGTATTGAATAAGTTGGAAAACGTAAACAAAATATGCAGGGGTGAGCCAAAATTAACTATATATATATACATATATTTGTTAGTGCTAAAAAAAATTGTTGTCCGATTGTCCCTTTCTTTATCGGTTATTGTAAGTAAAAACCCAGATATACAAAAGATGTGACAGGTTCGGTTTTCAAATACTATGTTTACATGATTTATGTGTCAATGAAAAACTCCAGTATTATTTCAATATTAACAGCAGAGTACTTTTGTATGTAAAATCATAGTGATTTTAACAGCATAATCCATACATGACTAATTACAAGATTTAAGATTATAAATTTTTTTTGCCGAAACAGCTGTTTAGAATATCAGAAAGCCTATATCTTATTTGAGAAATAGTTGTGTGAAGAGTGCAAATATTACAGACTTTGTTTTTACTCTAGATCGAGGTTCAGTTTCGCACTAGGGAGAACCTCATTGCTAAATGGTCCTTAGAGCCGAGTACAGGTCAAAATTTGCAAGTGGTGACGTCTCCATATAGGTGAAAATTTTTGAGATGGACGTTAAACAACACAAAAGAATCTGTGGCCTTCTCTGCCAATCCTTGAAAAAGAATTTTTCCGTTTGTTTCCATAACTTACACTTTATTTTCAAGACTTTAAGAAGAACATCACTAAATAGAGTGTAGAGTGAAGTACTGTTTTGCAACGAATATGTTGCAATGTTTCTTTACAACTACAAACAATCAATTTCACCTGATATTATTAACCCTCACGTCAACATTTATTTAATTTACTATTTACGAGTATAGTTTGGTTGAATTTAAACAAAGCATGTTCATTAAGGCCTCTAATTTTTATGGCAAAATTTTTTTTTTTTTTTTTTTATGCTTCCTTATTTATTTTTTGTAGCTACATATTATCTCAGTCTCGAATGTATCATTCATCATACTCTTTATCTTCTCATATTTTAGTCCTTAATATATATACCGGTATTTGATTTCAGGCTCACATGTTAAATATACATTTTCGCTTTATTTTGGTGTTGCTGTAATTGATTTCAGTTTTATGTTTCAATCATTATATCTATTTTAAAGTCTCACAGTTATAATTCAGTCTCAGCTACTTAACACTTAGTTCTATTAGTTAAACTATACCATCTACTTACACATGTTGCTGATAAAGATTTTCTTTCACATATACATCCACTCAAAATTTTGAAATAAAAATATCATCATAGTTTCAAATGAAATCTTTTTCTCATATTTTTCAAGTTGCTGGTCACAAAAAAGATGCTAAAACCAACATTGCTCTAAAATTTAATTCAAAAAAAAAATAATAAAATCAGTACTTGCTATAAAATTTATTTAAAAAATAAAATCAGTACAGTTGATAACATTAATTGCAAATGAACAATTTAACCATAAAACACAGTGTTAATGATATTATTTTCATTTTTACAATTTAAGTACATTTTTTCTTGCACTAACGTATTTTATACAAGCATGGGGCCATTGAAATGATACATGCTATGTGGCAACGCACTTTGAAAAATTACGCACTTTGAAATTTTTTATCAAAGTGCATTAAAATTGGGACAAAATCAACGCACTTTGAAAAAAATTTTCAAAGTGCGTTAAATTTGGAACACACTCAACGCACTTTGAATTTTTTTTCAAAGTGCGTTAAGAGTGTACATAAATATATTTACCATGGGGACATTTAACGCAGTTTGAAAAAAATTATGAATAAATCAAAAAATTCTATTCTTATATTTTAGTAAATGAGGGAATAATTCATAGTAATTATATCTTTCGAAAAACTTTTAATTTACATGTACTCATTTAACCTCATAGAACGAAGAGAAGGAGGTCTCTCAGCCCAATTTTTTTTTTCTTATACATGTATTATATGTAGCCGTCGGTAGCAAATTGAAAGAGGACCCCCGGAAAGGTTAGCCTAAATTTTCAAGGCCTGTATTATGCATATCTTTGCAAAACATTTGTGTGCCTAAGCTCCCCACCTTCCGGTACCGATGCCTATGCTACACCAAAATATATGTACGTATTTGCATAACTGGTATGATGTTTAAAACTTTCAATAAATTTTAGTTTACATAAAATGCATACAAACTGGAAAAATTTGAGTACAGTAAAACATGAGAGAATTTCCAAGGAGTGGAAAAATCCAAATCGCTTACTCTAACATCCTGAAGTTACCTCATCACCGAAGAGTTATCAAACAGGTTCAATTATTTATCATACCTAAGTTTTGCAAGAATATTGACCAAGGAATACACATTTTTTTCAAGGTGTGTTAATAAGGTCGATATTAACGCACTTTGAGAATAAATTTTATTTTTCCAAAGTGCGTTAATTTGGTCCCAAATTTAACGCACTTTGAAAAAATTTAAGTGCGTAGTTTTTCAAAGTGCGTTGTAACAATGCTAAATGTACAAAGCCTTTTTCAAAAGCATTTTCATACGAGTTATACATGTAAATTTTAAACCCATATGCACGTAATGCAAAACAATAGACTATCTGGTAAGGTAAAAAGTTTTGTTACTTATTTTACAAAACAGGTTTTAACAAAATGCTCAAAAAACCAAGATCCAATAAAAGTAAAGGATACACGATTTTTTTTATTTGAAGAGTTTCCTTATTCATGCCAACGTATTCGTTATAAAAACATTCTTTATATTGGAATTCTTGGTAATCAAGTTAGAATTATAATTATCAAATATTAGAAAATATATATATTTACATGTAGTCTTTTGAGAGAATAATTAACGTTTCCGTTCTAACATATATTATGTAATTCGATTAAAAATCCTAAAGTTATAATTATTGATGTTACTGTCCCTACTTATAATATGTTACTGAATATTATTGTTTCAAATATTTACCACTTTATGTATAGAATATCACTCATTCAATTTTTTTATTTGCCAGTTATGTGACGTCAAATTTGGTTTTGCATGAAAATGGTGAAATATTTTGTATTCTTCTATAGAAAAAGTGTAAACCATCGAATTTTATGCATAAATATTTGACAAAAAGATTCTCACATAATTTATGGTTGGATGTTCATCTTGTCTATCTCTATATGTGTTTTATAAAGAAACATGTCTCGTTGGACAAAATTATATCCAACTACAAATCATGAGAGATCCTTTATGTATCGTGCATGAACAATTATTGACGTTAACCGGCCCACATTTTACTCTCTCATAAAGTGCAAGTACAATCATTGATGTATAAGTTCCCACATGTTACTGTATTATATTGTGCAGTTACAATTACATGTAATTTTTATCAGGGGATGCTTACTCATCCATGGCAACGGATCCTACCTCTGATGTTTCAGAGATCTGTGTTTTTTCTGCTCCTATTTTGCATTGTTTATGGGACTTTTGAGCTTGAAATCTGTTCGTTATCTCCATATATTTCATGCTACATGTTATTTTTTCATATTGTGCAATTACAAGTATTGACATTATGGGAAACGTTACAGCTTCCAGCTTGAATCTGGAGAACAACCACTGTGTAGGTAATCACTGTTCCAAATATCTGCAAATGGAAAAAAAATGGAAAATTAAGAGGAGCTTAAATATCTAATACACTGTAGTTTTTCCAATTTTTATGCAGCAATATACCTTCATCACCTGCATTTACGGAGTTCATATATCTAAGTTGATTCGATACTCAAGAACATGCAGTCTACGTATGAACATTTTCTAAAACGAGGTAAATTATTGACAAACAAATTGATGAAACAAGAATATTAGCAGTCTCTTTTAAAGTCATAATTTGCCGATACAATACGTTGTCAGCAAACACTACAATTTATCATTAGTCAATACTGTTTTTCATACTAATTGTTAGTCCATTATCTATCAACTGAATTGACGATGGATTTTTTCGTTGTTTCATGATCATGACAAAGAGCACACGACGGGTGTGACCGGTTAACGGTGATACTCGCTCTTCCATGGCGCCTGGTCTCAACTCTGATGTTTTGGAGGTCCATGTTTGCTCTGATCCTATTTTGTATTGTTTTATGGACCTTTGATCTTGAATGCCCTTTGTTATCTCCATATGTTTCATTGCATAACTCCTCATTTAGATTTGTAGAGAAATGCATACAAAATGTTTATAACTGTACAGGTTAACATAGAGATTTACCATAAGAAACGTTGAACCATCCATGGTAAATAAACCATAAACATTGATACCGATCGTCTGACTCGTCAGCTGAGAAATAAACATTTGTAACTACAAAAAATAACAAAGTGTGTGTATTAAATAAAACATATAATTTAAAAGGAAAGAATAATATTTGTGAAATCTTAAAACCGATAATTTAAAAGAAAAAGACGGATAAAACAAATATATATACCTGATGTTGTGCATCTATTGACAAATTCTCAAGACTGAACGCGAAAAGACTCCTCAAAGCACTGTGTGCCTAAATAAAACAAACAAACAATTTTAATTAATAAGTAGGAAACAAAAAAGCATCTCTATTAAGTCGTGGTTATTGTTGAAAAGTCACAAATGTATTTGAAATAAATTTCTTTAAAGTAAGCTTATATCTAAAATTTTGAACAATAATGCATTGAATCTGTTTAACCCCTTACAACAAACGTGTCAAGTATATTCATTTATTAACAAACACATTTACAGAGAAACAGACAAAGTGACATGATCTTCACATCTCATCTTTTGCTATGATCCTTTCTTTTACGACAAGCTTTCCGTGTAAAATCTAAAAATGTTACAATGAAAACTGCGTAACATCGTCACAACAAAGTTATGAAAAATGTGTTGATTGATAGCAGCTAAAAAGAAAAAGTGGCAGTGGGGACAGAGTCTAAAAGGTCTGTTTTACATTTGTTTGTTTTGAAATTTAAAAGAAATTACAACATGATAAATAAATGATAAATATAGAGAATTCAAGTGTTTCTAAGAATTCAACAATTTCTAAAACAAGGCATTGGCAAACAAGTGGATGATACAAGAATATCAAAAGTCTCGTTTAAAATCTCATTTCGCAAGTTTTATCATCCTTACAATAGCCTTGTCGGCTAATACAATCTAACATTGAGTTGAAAATTAATCTGATTAACGTTTTTCATGCAGTTATTAGGTCATTTTTATACACTGAAGTCTGAAGATTTTTTCCTTTTTTCGATCATGGCAAGGAAAACACAGAAGATGTAACCGGTTGGCAGGGGATGCTGGATCCTCCATGGCATCTGATCCAACCTCAGATGTTTAAGAGATCCGCGTTTGTTCTTCTCCCGATTTGTACTGGTTATATGGACTTTTGAACTTGAACACTGTACGTTATCTCCATATATTCCATAGAAATGGTCAACTAAAATATTAAGGAGAGTAACTCTCCTTAATATTTTAGCGTACTTAATGTTATCTTTTTGTTTGCGATGTCCTCTTCCCTTTTCTCCTTTCTGATCAATCTTTATGATAACGGAAAGGTTTATCATACTATACGAAGGATAATGTGCGATAACTCTACTTATGGATATAGTAGAGAGGTTTAGCAAACCAACGTGTACGCGTACGTGTACGTGTAGCACCAGAAATCTGTGCATTACGTCATCACTTTTGCTTATGACGAATTTCTACACGTATTTTCTTACGCAAATTACGTGTACATTGCCAAGTACACGTAAGTTAAAAGTTGTAGCTTATAATTCTTTAACTGCTGTTAATTTTTCAAAAAGTGTGCGTTTTTCTGAAACCTGAATATTCAATGCAAATACTGATATAAAAACTGAACGTCAGTAATTGAAAAAATATTAATTTATAGGGAGTTAAAATTACAACATCTAGATTTTCAAAAAAGACTTTGACCGATTAAAAATACAAGAACTCTGTACAATCTTTTTCTCATAAGTACATGCATATATTTATATAGAACGGTGATATATGTATTAAAATTATTGCTTTTCCGGATGATTTTTAAATGCAAACCACTTTTACATTTAAAAACTTCCAAGTACAAGTAAAGGTTATACTTTGCTAAACAAGAAAAAAATGTTAACGTGTACGTGTAATTCTAACTTGTAGTTTACACGTACATGTACACGTACAAGTGAGCTTGCTAAACCTCTCTAGTGTTTCGATTTTCCTTTTTTTCTGTTGTTTTTTTTATGTAACTCACTTCATGAGAGAAAGAATCAAATTAAAAATAAAACTATGTATATGAATTCCAATTTTATAATTCTAAGTTTGGTATATTTATTATTTTGGATTCAACATGACCCATTATGTGTTATATTAAAATTCTTAATTTCATAAAAATTAGTTATTAATTTTTATTGAATTAATCGTGTTTCAAATGATTAAAGAATGTGTATTAAACAGAAAAGTCTTAAATATGAAATAATGGATTTTATTGTTAAAACAAATTTAAAAAATCTAAAATCTAAAAAAGATCTTAAAGTCGAATTCCATAACCAAATTCAGCATTTAAGAATAAAGAATCCTACTAAAAGAATCAAATCATTGAAACAATTCTAAGAATTCATTCACATTTATGGCATTACGGGTTCTAAAACTAGAAAACTATCATATCGAATTCAGAAATATTCTAATAAATCCACAAGGGGCTTCTGTTAGATTCCGAAGTATATGGATTTGGAATTTCATAATGTAGACGATATAATACATTTACAGAAAACAAATCCTTTTCTCCCATTGTACAAAAAAAAGACTTGTGCAATATCGAAATCTAAAAGCATATTTGTTGAAATTATTATTATTATTTCATTGATTAAATTTACCTCTGAATTAATTTTTGCTCCTAGCGCCGTCACTAAATTCATTCCTATTAATTGCACGACAAATATGAATACAAGAATCATAACGTCAACGACCCCCAAAGTACTGTGAACAATACCATAAACACCGAAGCAGATGCTTGGAATGGTGAGCATATAATTCAAAAGAACGTTCGGTTGAATGACGCTGTTTGCTGTTTGAAGTAGCTCTGTGACATCATGGTGTTTTTGCCTCAGTCGTCCAAGTTCTAGAGCAGACATATTATCTTTTGCTTTAGCAGTGTCAATTTGTCTCGTTACATCTTGAAACTCCTTAATGATTAAATGTAAAATAACAAAAATAACTGTCGTTTCGGCATCTAGTAGAAGAGTCCAATGCAAACACGCAACTGTGTCGATTATATTTGCCAAATCAAAAAGAAATTCATGGTTATATTGGAATGGAAGAAGGCGACTGATAAAGAGTCCAGCTTCCTCTAGAACACGAGAACTTGTTATGACAGCTTCACACATCCCAGTAATTAATACAGATATGACCATAAGCACAAATGCTAAAGTAGTCATTCTTTTCATTTTAGCGCAATCTACCACAAAACCATATTTTCTTTGAAATCTCCCAAATTTGGATAGGATTTCGGGTAGATGTCTTGAAAATGCAACAATGAACACTGGAAACATGATGGTGTTGCTGATGTAGGCGACTGCAAAAACAATGCGACCCATCAGTTTGTCAGAAAACTCGTCATAGATTACAAAGCCAGTTAGTATTCTAATGATGCCAGAAACCAAAATTAGCATGTACACCACGTTTAGAATTATTTTCCCGGCTACCTTGGGTTTTGCGCCGTGTATGTCAATGTAATATCCACCCATCTTCAACATTAAGATAGGATAATGTAAAATTTGCTCCAGTGATCGAGAACTGTTTTTCCCTTTTTCTACTGACACTGGTGAAACAACTTGATCGGCCATCCTGTATCGAGAGAATGGACGAGAATAACTAACGGATATTTTATCATTAATGGCCCTGGAAATGAAACTGTTATCGCATCTTAACTTGTCTGCAAAGCTATATCAAAAACAAATACTTTTATGTTCCTAATGGGTGCAATAAATAGCTTGACATTGTGTAAATATCATACAGTAGTGACAAAAACTAAAAACTATTTGTAATGCAGCCATTGCGAAATCGTGACGCTAATTGATTATTTGGGCTGTGTCCTTATGATCTTGTTTGGTTTTTCAAATAAAATAATTTTTTCTAGGTTTTTGATTAATTGGATTTTTTGTAATGTAATACCTGATATGATTAGAGTATCCAAATAAATTAGGAATCACTTTATGCATTATATTAGAATAGGTTTCCTCTAGAAACAACCTGATTTCGGATAAAAGATCATAATGTCAGTCAATAGGTTAAATGTACAAGAAGAATTAAAAAGATCCAATAAAGGACCAGATGTTCGTTAAGAAAATGCACTACTGCTCGTGTTTTTGAGTTTTTTTTAAATTATTTATTTCTTTTAGGATTGATCTTTCTAAAAGAAATTACGTATGTCTTGTGGCAATGCACTTGAAAATTATTTACTTTGAAAAAAGGTGGTTTAAAATGAGACAAAAATCAACACACTTTGAAATTATCTCCTTATATTCCATTGAAATAGTCAACACTCTCCTTTATTTTCATACCAGCGTACTTTGCTTTTTTTTTTTTTTTTTTTTTTTTTTTTTTTTTGCAATGTCCTCTTCTTTTTCTATATCTGTTTAAACTTGATGATGAAAAAGGTTCATCATACCATACGAAGGACAATGTGCGATATTTCTACTCATGGGTATATTCTGAATTTCTTTTTTTTAACTATAGTTTTTTATGCACGAGGGGTGATCATAAAGTTCGCGAACAAATTGAATAACCTCCATAAAACAAATAAAATTAGGTTTCAGCGTTCATTATTTTTTAAAGTACCCCTCTCTGATTTTGAAGCATATATGCCACCGTTCTTCCCATACGCGAATCACGTAATCCAGGCGGTCACGTGAAATGCTCTGAAGCATTCTGTTCATAGGAGCTAAAATATTTTCCGAATCATATTTCTTACCATGTGAGTTGATCTTTTTAACAAGAACAGTTCATTTGTTAGACATGATCAAATTTCGGAAATAGGATGGTTGGAGAAGGATAATCCTTTCCCAGAAAGAACATGGTGACCATCACAACCCGAGTCCGCTGTCTTAGGAAGGTCGTTTATCCAATATGGATATAGTTGTCAGGGCCTTCTTTATATCATATTTAATATGTTAAAGGTCTAAATTAAACGATATTTTAGGGATTTAATATTGACATTATTGTTAAGATATTCCATCATTTTATGCGCCCGGATCGATAGATCCGGGGCGTATATTGTTTTTGTCCTGTCTCTCTGTCACGCTGTCTTTCTGCCTGTCTGTCTGTCTGTTTGTCTGCAAACTTTAACCTTCGCCATAACTTTTGAACCATGAAAGATGGAGACATCATATTTAGTATGCATACTCCACTAATTAAGCTCTTTCACATGACACCAAGGTCAATGACCTTGTGACCTTGACTGTGACCTACATGCTAAAAATAGCTTTTTTTCAGCAAACTTTAACCTTCGCTGTAACTTTTGAAACATAAAAGATAGAGACTTTATATTAAGTATGCGTACTCCACTAATTAAGCTCTTTCCAATGATATCAATCTCAATGACCTCGTGATCTTGACTGTGACCTATATGCTAAAAATAGCTTTTTTGTCTTCAAACTTTAACTTTCGCCATTACTTTTGAACCATGAAAGATAATGACTTCATATTTGGAGTGCTTACTTCACTCATTAAGTTCTTTCAAATGACACCAAGGTATTGACCTTGTGACCTTGACTGTGACCTATATGCTAAAAATAGTTTTTTTAAACCTTTACCATAACTGTTGAACCATGAGAGATAGGGACTTAATATTTGGTATGCATACTCCACTAATCAAGATTTTTCAAATGATGCCAAGGTCATTAACCTTGTGACCTTGACCTTTATGCTGAAAATAGCTCTTTTTTTCGAACTTTGTGCCACCGGGCGCATAGTGTTTCACAAACACATATTGTTCAAGCTGCAACTTAGCAATCTTTCCTGACAAATTGACTAACATTTAAGGACACATCTCTTTCCCAGCTTACCTTTACTGGGCTACAAAACAAACGACATTTAGATATGATGGAACGTATGGAAAGTCTATTGTCCTCATAAACCCTGAACAAAATATTATAAGATACTTCAAAGGATTTTCCAAGTTATTCGTTAAATTAAACTTTAGAGTCGTTCGTTGCTCGAGTAAGACTATAACACCCTTTTTTGTCACGAGTCACCTAGATATTGACGTCATTTTCACATTTCGACGGCACAATGATGGAGAAAATCATAACTTGTCATAAGCTATTTATAGAACATGTGCATGACTATAGGTGTGTCAAATTTCACTTTGATCTGAATCATGGTTTCGTAAATATAGGATTTTTTGATCATCCCTCGTAATTCACTTCATGGGTGAAAGAATCTAGTATGTTTTTGCTTTGTTTTATTTGTTGTTTACGTATACTTATGACTTGTTTGGTTATTTTGTCCTAGCATGTTTGGCTTTGTCTTGTTTGTATTTACATATATATATGACATTATTTGATTATTCTGTCATTTATTTCAGTAAATAAATGACCTCTTCTATTCCTCTACTGAATGTTATATCTTGTCTTTAATAGGGAGGTAAAGTTATTTTCAGGTATCCATAAAACAGGTTTATGATAATAAAACATTTATGGGTGCTGATCTTTAATATTTTGTATTTGGCTCCTTTTCTTTAAATAGAACAGTTGTATGTGGCCTTTGCGCATGCGCAGTTTTCTAGCGTCAGTCGCCATTTTTATCAATTCACTGAGAAATTCCAATAAGAAATAAGTAACTACCGCCCACCCCACCTCCAGCATTTTTCAACATAATTTGTAAAATCATATTCAATATATTATGTAAAATTTGTATGTACATAAGATAAGCCTTTAAACAAATTTTTCAAATTGCACATATGGTAAAAAACATTTCCTTCAAAAAAGATAATAACTTATGCATACCTTAAATTAAATCATTAAAAAGTTTAATTATTTATAATTGACTTGTACGATGTTGTGTTTCAAGGACAGGTAACTCAGGTGTGGAAAATGACCAACTGAGTGCCGATTTATGAGTTATCATTTATAGGAATGACATGTAGGCTGCTTCAGCATTGGTATTGTTATGTACACAAAAGGGTTCTTTACATTGTTTGTACACAAAAGCGTTGACCAAAAGAAGGAGAATGTCTTCGTAATAGTAAGATCATATGAAGAGAAATCTTCGTCATGAAGAATGGGTGGAGCGAAGCGGAGCCTATTCTTCGTGACGAAGATTTCTCTTCATATGATCTTACTGACTTAGAACAGAACCTCAGCCAATCAAATGGATGGATTAGAATATAAACTCCTCCCACGACTGTGTCATATATAAGGCTCAACTTGACCGATCGTTGTACATATCGAGCACGCAACCAATATCGAACACACGCGGTTTTAGAATTGACTCCCAACCGATTCAGGTTAGCACGGGATTAAATGAAATAGCTTGATTTTCTGGGGGAAATGGTATGGTGAAAATATTTAAGTTACTGAACTAATGAATACCCATGTAACAAGAATCGAAATATCTATATTTAAAAAAATGATTGTATTAAGATGACAAGGCCCTAGTCAGCAGGAGTGTATCGCTGTCTAATATCAAATAAAAATTAGATAAAAATTGTGATTAAATCTGTCTTCAAAGACAAGGTTCGTCTCTGATATACATGGCGATGGTTGTATTTTCTGTATGTACCAAATTGTGAAAAAAATAATATTAAAAAAGGCGACAAAAGATTACAGTGGGAAAAAAAGTGTAGCAAGGCCTAGAAAGTTTCAATATCATTGTAAACAGCACGTGGGTTTTGAATAGTTTCTTTTTGTGTGCTGAACAAAGACCAATGAAGACACACCCATATAACTGTCAAGTGAACCAATCAGATAACGTTGAATTTTTCAGAAATAGAAGAATTCTTCACCATGAAGAATCAATTCTTCGCGAGAAATGGAAGCATTTGATTGGCTGAATAAGTAGGTTATGTTCTAAACTCTATCTGAAATAACAGGGTCAAATGAATGGGGAACAGACTATATATTCAATATTTTATCTATCTTTGACGATTGTTTTGAATAAGAAAATATAATGTCATGTTTTTTGTGTGCGTACTGTTGCGCTTCCTATATGAATATATATACTTTTACAAGTAAATGCAACAATTAATTATCTTATTTGTGTTACTAAGCACGAAGAAGAACGACCGAGTATAAAAAATTGATAAGGTTAGAACTAAGAAGGATGGTATATTTCACTTTTTATTTCGATTAAAAACTTTACTTATATGTAATTAAACGGAGTCGGCAACTATATAGTAAATGAGTTTAACATTAGTGCTAAATTTTAAAACCACTGGATTCTACTGACAGCAAAGAAACACTTGGTAAATGCTAAAAACTGACCTGTGTATAAACAGTTAGATTGTTTGTGATCTATGTTTAGTATGTTTGGCTTTGTCTTATTTGTATTTACATATACATATGACATTGTTTTATTATTCTGTCTTTTATTTTAGTAAATAAATGACCTCTTCTATTCCTCTACTGAATGTTATGTCTTGTCTTTAATAAGGAGGTAAAGTTATTCAGGTAACCAGAAATATGATAATGTACGTATATGAAATGCAATTTAGGGTAAAATTTGAATTCGATAATTTTAAGGACGCTCTGAACAATGCACACTAAAGAGCTCTATTTATTGGGTAGTTTTATGCAGTTAGAGTGATCTGTCCTTAGATGTAAGATTAAAGAAATTGTTATTTACCGTTAATTACATAACTTACAATAGATTAAAATATTTTTAGCTTATATAAGACCAAGAGTAAGAAATTTAATTATTTTCATTAATTTTCCCAGTGTCAGTAGACAACAGTGATTTCTGCTCACAAATGTACATTGTCTTTGAACATTATTCCTGCGCAAATAAGGCACGTACCCTATATTCTAAATGAATGAAAAAATCTCAATATGCATATCTTTATACGATATATTTTTCTCAGTGTCCAAAAAACAGTTTCTGCTAGTGTTTAGAGCTTCCTTAAGTTTGGTATATTTAAAACTGTTTTGGATTCTACATGACCAATTTTTTTTGTTATAATGCATTTCTTAAATTCATACAAATTAGTGATTATTTTTTATTGAATGAAACGTGTATCAACTTATTCAAAAAATGTTATAAACGCATAAGTCTTAAATATGATAAAAATAATAACTAGAACCGTTACTGAGTATATAGCTAAAAAATATTTTAATGAATCCACAAAGAGCTTCCGTTGGATTCCGAAGTACATGGATAGGGAATTTCATAATGTAGACGATATAATACATTTACAGATTTAAACAAATCCTTTTCTCCCAATGAACAAAAAATATTATTTCCTATCTAGCTTGTAACACGAGCTTTGATTGGTTACGGGTGTAAATATCCGTGCACCCGACTTGAGCCGGGTGTAAATAAAACGTGACGTCACAATGCATAGTTTTTCTATAATACAAAGCAAATCGATATGTTGAGACACACTCTAAAGCATTGTTATGGGTACAAAGGAAATAAATTCGTTATCCAGGTTCAATAAGGGTGTACGGGGATTTACCCCAGGTTGTCCATTCCCGGGTGTATGGAATACAACCCGGGGTAAATCCCCGTACACCCTTGATTGAACCTGGATAACTAATAAAGTCTTTTGCAATACTGGGTTCATATTTGCTGAACTTATTATCATTTCATTGATTAAATTTACCTCTGAATTAATTTTTGCTCCTAGCGCCGTCACTAAATTCATTCCTATTAATTGCATGACAAATATGAATACAAGAATGATAACGTTAACGACCCCAAAAGTACTGTGAACAATACCATAAACACCGAAGCAGATGCTTGGAATGGTGAGCATATAATTCAAAAGAACGTTCGGTTGAATGACGCTGTTTGCTGTTTCTAGTAGCTCTGCGACTTCATGGTGTTTTTGTCTCAGTCGTCCAAGTTCTAGAGCAGACATATTATCTTTTGCTTTAGCAGTGTCAATTTGTCTCGTCACACCTTGAAACTCCTTAATGATTAAATGTAAAAAGACAAAAATAACTGTCGTTTCGGCATCTAGTAGAAGAGTCCAGTGCAAACACGCAACTGCGTCGATTATATTTGCCAAATCAAAAAGAAATCCATGGTTATATTGGAATGGAAGAAAGCGACTGATAAAGAGTCCAGATTCGTCTAAAACACGAGAACTTGTTAAGACAGCATCACATGTCACAGTAACTATTACAGATATTACCATAAACGCAAATACAACAGTAGTCACTCGTTTCATTTTAGCGCAATCTACCACAAAGCCATATTTTCCTTGAAATCTCCCAAATTTGGATAGGATTTCGGGTAGATGTCTTGAAAATGCAACAATGAACACTGGAAACATGATGGTGTTGCTGATGTAGGCGACTGCAAAAACAATGCGACCCGTCAGTTTGTCAGAAAACTCGTCATAGATTACAAAGCCAGTTAGTATTCTAATGATGCCAGAAACCAAAATCAGCATGTACACAACGTTTAAAATTATTTTCCCGGCTACCTTGGGTTTTGCGCCTTGTATGTCAATGAAATATCCACCCACTTTCAACATTAAGATAGGATAATGTAAAATTTGCTCCAGTGTTCGACTACTGTTTTTCCCGTTTTCTACTGACACTGGTGAAACAACTTGATCGGCCATCCTGTATCGAGAGACTGAAGAAATAATGGACGAGAATAACTAACTAATATTTATTGTTAATGACCCTGGAAATGAACCTGTTATCTCATCTTAACTCATCTGCAAAGCTATATCAAAAACAAATACTTTTATGTTCCTAATGGGTGCTTTAGAATAACATGATATTATGTCACAGTAGTAACAAAAACTGAAAAAGGTTTGCAATGCAACCTTTGCGAAATCTTAACGATAATTGATTACTTGGACTGTGTTCGTATAATTTTGTTTGATTGTTCAAATGAAACTTTTTTGCAGATAAAATAAAATTTCCCTAGGTTTTTGATTCATTGGATTTTTTAAAAATGTAATATCTGATATGATTGTACTATCCAATTAAATAAGGAATCGGTCTCTGTATTATATAAGAATAGGCCTCCTCTAGAAACAATCTGATTCTGGATAAAAAAAAATCTTAATATCAATCGTTAAATTAAATTTACAGGAAGAATTGAAAAGATCCTATAAAAGACCGGATGTTCCAAATGAAATTACACTACTCAATGTCATATCGTGTTTTTGGAGATGAAACAGTTTTTTAATTTTTATTTATTTTAGGATTGATCTATCTGCAAGAAATGGCGTATGCCCTGTGGTAATGCACTTTGAAAAAACATTATGCGCCTTGAAGAAAAATGCTTTAAAATTTGGAGAAAACCAACACCCTTTTCATTTTTTTTCGAAAGTGCGCTTAAATTATACATTGACATAATTACCATAAAGATACTTGACGCACGAAAATTGAATCAAGCAAAATCTTGGACCTACAATTTAGTAACAGATAGTATCATTTTCTTATATTGGTTCCATGAATAGATCCTCCTTCATCGAGAATGAGGAGACGATAAGTAAAAGTCTCTCGGCCCAACTATTTATCTTTCCTTCTATATATATTTTACATCACTGGTATGATATTGATATACTTTAAGATGTCATCTGGTCCCACCTCTGAGGTTTTGGATAGTCCATGTTTGCTATGCTCCAATTTTGTATTGTTTAGTGGACTTTTGAGCTAGAATACTGTTCGTTATCTCCATATATTTCATTTCCTTGAATAAATTTGATTTAACATAAAAAAGAAAATTGAAAAATTTGAAAAAAAAAAATTCCTAAAAGAAACACACCCTATTATAATATGTTCACAAATAACTAGATACTCATAAATATGGATATGATAGAGAAAGAGAGACGATGAAGTAGGGCAAACATCACCAGGGAGAGCCCAGAGTGAAACACTGTTTTGCAATGAATATGTTGCAATGTTTCTTTACAACTACAAACAAACAGCTTTCACCTGACACTATTTACCCTCACTCAGACATTTATTAATTTGTTATTTACGAGTAAAATTTGATTAAATTTAAACATATAATTATCATTTAATGGTCTCTAAATGTGTCTTACAATCATATGCGTTTTTATCACAATATCTATTTTTAATACCTAAAAAGTGTTTATGTTTCATTGTTTAAGGTTTTGTTTGCTAAATCTTATTTCATTCTTAGATGTATCATTTAACATACTTTTTTGTCTTCTCATGTTGTAGCTGCATTGTAACTGTAAAGCTACTTTTTTTACCGTCTGTCTGTATTTCTGTGTGTCTGTACATGTAACACTTTCGTTTCCATGCGATATTTCGAGAAGCCCTTGATCTTTAGCAGTGAAATTTTATACAACTCCCGATGGCTTAAGTAAGATTTCTTTTGATTGTGAGGTCAAAAGGTCAAAGAAAAGGTCATAAATTCAAATATTATGTTTGTTATAAAACATGCATTTCCTCGTGTTAATTTAAATGTTTTTAATTCTTTTTTTTTAATCTAAAAAAAATTAAGAAAGTTTTGATTTTACACGCATTAAAAAAATTAAATTTCACATTGAAGCAAATATAAAACCAATGTTATAGCAACATATAGATAAATGTACAAAAAAAGAAGAAGAAGGTGGTGATTTTATCCTTACCTGGGATTTTTTTTTATCAACCATCAAATATTTTCAATGTTACCGACAGCTGCATGCAGAATTTATGTAATGTTATAATTCTGTATTTCACGAAGTATCGGGAGGCCATGAAAAACATCGTAGAATTCATTAATATTTAGAGATTACCTGAGAATCGACTTCAGATCGGAGAAATGTTATCCAAATAATCTTCAACAAATGGCAGCTTATTCTCCAAGTTAGGCAGAGAGTATTTAACACAACCAGTGTATTGCTAAATAGTCCATAAAGTAAAATAAAAGTATATATACATAAAATCAGAGTCGTTACAGCAAAATGTGAGCGTAGAAGAGTACTGCCATTTCTAAGCAGATTTTCCACATCATTTAGCTGTTTCCGTAGCCTTTCGAGTTTACTTGCTGTTATGTTGCCTTCCTCTTCGATGATCCTTATTTTTTCGTCTATGGCTTGAAATTCTTTCAGAATAAAAAGAGAGACAATGGAAAGAATAACGAACATTGACACAGATATGAGAGTGATATAGATATGCAAAACCGAATCAGTATTAAGCTGTAGAGCGTCGGAAAGATAGGAAAACTTTCGGATGCCAAACAGCCTTATGTCATTAAGGATCAATGAATTTTTGATTGTGCAAAAAAGATAGCCCGATAAAAGCTCGGTCAACAAAAGTATCGTAGATGTCATGAAAAAGACGTTTTTACTCGGTGACGTAGCATATCCATATTTTACTTGAAATGTTGAAAATTTTGATAAAAGTCTTGACAACTTCATTGAAATAGTGAGCAACAGAAATGGAAATAGGATCAATTCACAAAATCCAGCGCTCGAAACACTTTGGATGAAACTCTGAACCGAAACGTTTTCACATTGCAAAGAGTCACCCAATATTCTTGCTGCTTGTCCAAAAATAGACAAGATGACAAACCCAGCAAAAAGGAACTTGGGAACTAACATTGGTTTCCATATAATGATGTCCTCTTTGAATTCAAACTCAATGTAGACACCGCAACATTTTAATATCGTTAAAGGAAGATGTAAAATCTCCTTTAAGGAATCCTTTACCGAATGTATTAATACAGAAGAATCGCTATCTGTCCCCTCCATAATGTCAAGAATCTAGGAATGCAGCAAAGTTATGTCCTTATATAATCAAAAAATAATTTCATAATGTTTTTGCAAATGCAATTTTATTAATGTGTGCAAATAAATGAGCACGAAGCAAATACTGATTTCCCAAGACACTGCAGAAGCTGCAATATCAATTGCATATAAAAATTATCAAGTGCGTAGGGGTTTGCTCAATAGTGAAATATGATTATATTCATATTCAAAATGTGCAATAAAGCAACAAATATCAGCAAAAATCCTTTAATACTTTTATTTTGAATCAAGAGAAAGCAAGGTGATGCAACTAGATATATTGAGAAATCTTCATAATTTTTTCCCGAAATCCTTTGAACTCCAAAGTATGTAAACATAATTTTACTTCCCTTAATAGTCATACTTGAAGGAGGAAAATTACGGATTCATTTTGTATACTTTATCGAATTCGATAAATACGGGTGAAATATATGGAGAAAACGAATGTATTCGAACTCAAATGTCCACTAATGAATAAAAAATAGGAGGCACGCAAACACGGACCTCAGGAACATCAGAGGTGGAATCAGGTGCAATGGAGGAGTGAACATCCCCTGATATAACGAATCATGGGTACAGCAAAGTTAATTCGCAGGCCCCCTGAACTTCATTAAATCCAAGTTTTACTACAGGTTAGTATATAATCCCCAGATTGAGCAGACAAACAAGAGTTCAATTCTTGAGACTATAGGCTGTGGCGGCTTAGGGATTGGGTTTACAGGTGTCATGGAAAATATATGCTTAGAAACATCATTAGGCGAAGTATTGCGCAAGCAAACATACTTTTGTACGGCAGTGCAGAAATTAATATTATTTATTCGGATGGTGGAGTGGGATATAAAACCCTATACACATTAAAGATGCTGAAAATATACCACACATATTTTCTTACATATTGTCCTTTGAATTGGAGATACTTACATGGCACCTGATCCCGCATTTTGATATTTTAGAGATCTATGTTTAATATCATGCTATATCAATATATATACAGTGTATATCTTCAGGTAGTGCATATTAAAGAGTTTTCCAAATCAAGCTTTCTGAGGGTAAGAGGGGGGGCTTAATCCGGAGAAGGGGGGTTACATTGGAATGCATAGACATATAAGGTTTTTTTTCATTTCAAAAAAGAGTTCTCACTAAATAACATTAATATCATAAGTCTTACTTGATCACATATAAAACATCCAAAATGTCCAAAAAAGCTGTAAGTCATTACCTTTGAACTAATTTTCGCTCCCATTGAAGCTACTAAATTCATTCCAAATAATTGTATCACAAATATGAAGACTAAAATCATGACATCCGAAATACCAAGGTTGCTGTAGACAATCCCATAGACACAAAAGCAGATGCTTGGAATTGTGATCATGTAATTTAGAAGAACGTATGGCTCTATGACGCTGTTTGCTGCTTGAAGTAGCTCCGTTATCTCGAAGTGTTGAAGCCTAAGATTTTGAAGTTCTTCTGTAGAAACGTCCAGTTCTTTTCTTAATATGTCAAGCTCTTTAGACACTTCCTCGAACTCTTTGATAATTAAATATGAAAAAACAAATACAAGTAGTGTGTTTGAGTCCATGAGAAGGGACCAATGTATGGTGGCTAGTGATTCTATCACGCACGCCAAATCGAACGTATACCCATCCTTGTAGCGGAATGGAAGCAGACGGGTGATAAAAAGTCCAGATTCCTCTATAATACGAGAGTTCGTTATTACAATTACACAAACTCCAGTAAGCATAACAGAAACAACCATCACTATAAACGTTCCTATAACCATCGTTTTTATTTTTCTAACGTCTGCTGCAAAGCTGTGATTGATACTTTAAAAATTTGGATAGAATATCGGGTAAATTTCTTGAATAAGAGATCGTGAAAGCGGGAAACATTAAA